GCACTGCAACCTGGAAGCAGCTGGTGCCTTCTTAGGGCTTGCCTTGTTGAATCCTCTTCTCTCTGTGCTGAATCACATATTGTCCCTGGCTTTCTAGTGTTTGTTTTTTTTTTGGTACCGGGGATCAAACTTTGGACCTTGTGCTTGAGAGGCAGGTGGCAGAACCACTGAGCTAAATCCCCGTCATGGCTTTCTAGTTTTTGTCTGAGTTTTTTTATTGCTATGGCAAGAGGGTAAAACCAATCATTGTTATTCCAGCATGGCTGGAAGTGGGAGATGAATCCCAGGTCTTGATGGCTATTGCCACAGCCTTTAAGACTGCCTGCAGAATTCCCGTGAGCACCCTTGGGACTGCCTTTCTCAGCCCTGCAGCTGGCCAGAGGAAAGTGGGAGACAGTAGGTCATAATTCCTCCAGGTGTGGTGGGTCTGGCTGAATAGTAGTGGGTTGGTGGATAAGGAGGGTGAATGTAGCTGCCCCTTGCTAGTCCTGTGCTGGCTCACCTATATTAATGTACTTCTTGCCAATGACCTTGCACAGGGGATTGTTATTATCCCTACCAGGAAACTAGCACTTGCCCAACATCTCAGCTCTCTAGGAGGGGGGGTTGGAAGCAGACATGACAGACTCTCCCACTGCTTGCACATCTCAGGTTTGGAAGTGACTTGTCTGCAGCTGTACACTGCATTAAGACCATGTCAAGGCTGCAGGCTCCACAAGAATTGAGTGTGTCTTTCCCCTGCACGTGGGCATTTGCAGGGAGACCACAGCTGGCTCTCTCTGAGCAGACTTCAGGAATGTCTGTGGCCTGGGAGGATGAGGCAGGTGGAACCATTATACAGGGATTGTCACACGCAGGTCAGAAACCTTCCTATCTAACCCCATCTGTCTCAGGGTCCAGGTTTTGTGGGAGACTACCTTCCTGTGGCATCTCCTGAAATGCACGAGTGATACATGTTCAAGCCAGATGACCCAGAGTAATGACAGGGAGGAGCTGGGGTGGTAGAAGAGCTTCAGTTTGGTTTAAAAGGATGGATAAGAATTGTCCAGATAGAGGCAAAATTGGTAATTGGCCTTCAAGGAGGCAACCTATATGGGGATCTGGTGGATCAAAGCTTGACATTTTGGGGAGAGGGGCCAGCAGGGTCTGGGCCCCCTAGGAGAGGCTGGGCCACGCACCAGCACTTTTCCAGCAGTGTTCAGCTAGCCCATCTCAGCCCGCTTCTCCTCCCAGTCACTTCCAAGACAGCCTGTTCCACCCACTCGCCCTGCAAGGGCACTTTTGTTCCATAGAGTGGAGTCTGTGGTCACAGGGAGGCTGGAAAACAGCTGTTGTGGGTGTTGGGAGCCACAGGCTGGTGTTGGCACCTGGCAGGGTGGGAGCCTGCAGGGGTGTGGGGAGGTGGTGTGGCCACCTGCACTTCCTCTCTCAGGCCTGTGGGTGCAGCGAGATGCCCAAACCAGCCCAGACAGGCCCTGCTGGGCTCTGGGCACCTGGGGAACAGGGATGCAGGTCTTTCAGTAAGGATGTCAGAGAGGAAAGGTCTTGGACACCTTGTCTACTAGCCCATTGTGCAGATGAGGGGGTGCAGCTCACTCACAATTGGGACTGGAGCTCAGAGTGCCAGCCTGAGCCTGCTCTGGGTTTGTTGGGGACAGCATTCAGGCTGGGGCTGAGGGGGATGCCTGGTGCTTCTCTCTAGGGGGACAGCTCTGTAGTGTTCAAACTAGACAGACCTGTGCAATGGGATGGACCCACACTCCTGCTTGGGAGGGACGGTGGCTGGTGCCAGCCCTGATTCCTGCAGTTGCTCCTGGGCTGAGCTACTCATTCTGGTTCTCAGTTGATAAAAGCTCCTTGTGACCTGCCCCAGGCTGAGCTCCTGCTGTACTATGTCCTGGATGAGCTCACAGGGTCATGAGTGAGCTGGGCTATCCAAACAGTTATTAGGCAAAGTAGTGAAAGCCACTGTGCCTCAGTTTCCTCCTCTGTAAAATGAGGAAAAGAACCGCTGCGTATAGCATGCTCTTGAACACCAAAGGTGTGGTCATGGTTGTCAAGCCACTGAGCTGCCCTGATGCTAAGGGTGGCTGTGTGGCCCTGGTTCTAGCCTCCATCACTGACTCTGGTCCCAGCTTTCCTGTGTACAAAATAGGGAGGGCACGGCAGGTGTGAAGGGCCTCCAGGAGACCTCTGTGACCTGACTCTGACAGGCCAAGCTGTGGGGGGTGATGCAGAGTACCAGCTACCCCCTTCCCAGCATCGTCCCAGACCCAAGCAGCACTCCCTGTCTGCAGCATCAGCTGGCACCTGTCGCAAGCCCTCGTCTGACCAGCTCCAACACCAAGACCAATGTCTGGGGAAGCAGCACTCAGAACAGGGCCCCGTGGGGGTTCCCCTAGGGGGACAGGCACCAGCAGATCCACCCCGACAGCAGGCAGTCCCTGGATCAGGTGCCCTGGCTGGCTGGCTGAGGGCTATGTGGGGAACAGAACAGATGGTGCCCGTCCTGCTAGGGCATGTCCTATAGCCCAAGCCCAGGGCAAGTCCCTGTCTGCCGTGGCACCCAAGGCTTGACCCACCCCTGATCGATCTGGGGGTGTGAAGGGGTACTGGCATGCCTCCAGGGAGGAGCTTGTTGGCTGTGCCTTGATTAGGCTCTTTTCCAGGACAGCATGTGAGGCTGTTTGCCTTCTTCGGAGTGGCTTATCCAGGGGGAATCACAGCTGGAGTGGCTAGGGGGCTATGGGGTCCCAGGTGAGGGGTTACTTTCTACCACCCCCGTTCCCAAACTCAGTCTCATAGCCCTTAGCTGGTGGTGAAATCCAAGGTCATTGCTTGTAGCCTCACACTCACCTCCTCCCTAGTCTCTGGCTTTTCCTTCAATACCTCCTGGCTGGGGAGCTCATTCCCTCTCAAGACCCCTGCCTATCCTTGGTCAGCTCCTGGGGGCACAAGGTACTTCCTCATCTGGCACTGACACTGCCTCTCTTTAGCTTACCTTCGTTCATCCCAGCCCCTGCCCCAACTGTGCTGATCCTCTGCCCCAACTGTGCTGATCCTCTGCCCCCTTCCAGTCTTGTAGAGGATCAGAGACAGTGAGCTACTACCCCAAGGGACAGAGGGCACCCTAGGCCTCGGCATCTGGGGAGTCCTGGCAGGTCTCACACTCTACCCTCTGGGAGGACCAGCACCTGCCCAGCCCTCTGTGGCTATGTGCCAAGGGAAGGGGCTGGGGATCAGCCCTGGCCCAGCCTGGAGGTGGCTCTAGGCCCTGCCCTAACTTGCTCTGTGACCTCTAGCTAGACTAATGATCTCACTGAGTCTCAGTTTATCTAGCTGCATGCTGGGATCTCACTGCTGTGAAGTTTGCAAGAGATTGGGGAAGTGAGGGCCAGGAAGACCAACCTTCTGGGAACTCCCTTTGAGGCTGGTTGTGGGGAAAAGGTAGGACCTAAGTGTACATGAGGCCCTCCTCCAGGCCAGGGTCTTTTCACATGCTGTTATATCCATGTGTGCTTAGTTTTCCCAAGAGATGGGGCTTGTATTGATGAGAAAGCTGCCCAGAGAGGTAAAGAGCCTTCCTCAGGGTCACCCAGCAAGTTCATGGCAGGGCAGGCATGGAGCCTTCCCCTTGCAGGAATTTGGGTTTTGGTGCCAGATGAGCAACTGGTGTCAGCAGTGGCCTGAGGCTGGGGAGGAGCCCCAGTGGGCCTGCAGGGGCCGGCCTGGTGATCTAATGCTTCAGTGTGCAGATACATCCCCAGCAGGCTCCAGGCTGCCTCCTGTCACCCATGTGTATGGATCCCAGGGAAGGGAGCCTGCCAGGCCACTCTCATAGTGGGGGCAAGTGAGCTCGGCTCTTTGCAGGCCTTGGTAGATGCCAGCCCAACTCCATCCCCAGCTTGCTGTGTAGCCTAGGGCACCTCCTGGCCTCTCTGTGTAAGGGTCCTTAGGCAATTCTTATCCCCAGGGGCAGTAGGCCAGCTGTGGGGGTGCAGCCTAGGGAGTGGAGGTCTGTCTGGCTCTGCCGCACTGGGTAGCTGTGACAGGCATGTGACCTGGTCTGACTGCTCTTCTGTGCCACCTGGGGGCCTGGGAGGGGAAGGGAAATGGGGAAGAGACTAAAGGCCATCTCTGTGCTTGCTCTGCTCTGTGTCTTGAGGACTCTCAGGTGAACAGTTGGGTTTGGCCACACTGGGTTGGGTAGATGTATTTTGACCCCAGGGGCCCCATTTTGAGCTGGGTCCAGGAGAATGGGGGTCCCCTGTGGTGGGGACAGATATAGTGAGGTGACAGGAAAAGCACAGGTGCTGGTTTGGAATTTGTCCAGACTAGACAGGAGTAGTGGCAGCAAGGGAGGCCTGCCAAAGTCCACTGCAGCCCTGGGACACTGGGGAGGCCCCAGTGAGTTGCTCCTTAGCTGCTGCCCTTCTCCAAGCTGTTGACACAGCTGGGTTATCTCTGTGTGGCTGGTGTTGTCTCAAGAATGGACCAGGATAGGGCCCCTGGGTGAGCCCCTCCTGAGTGCTGGTGGGAGATGCCTGATCCAGGTGAGAAAGGAGGCACTCTGGGGCCAGCCGTGACACACACAGGGCCTCACACCGAGACCCTCCTTGACTCCTGGCCTTTGTGGACCATCCTTTCCCAGGGTGCCTGTGGACCCTGCACCTCCTGCAGTGGCCTGCTCTTCTCTCTCCATCCACTCCCCACCATGTGTCCACTTAGCTTTGTGCGCCATGGTCTGTGGTACAGAAAGGGTAGGCACTTGCTGCCTGCTGAGTCCAGCCAGAGGCACTGACCAAGACGTGTGTCCTAAATGTCAAATCCTGGCCTAGAGAGGCCCCAGTCTGTCCTCCACACTCATGAGCCTAAGGCTGCTCGGGGCAGGGCTGGTGTGGACACTCCAAAGACAACGGTGACATAGAAGGATTATGCATCTTGCTAAAGTGCCCTGTCTCCACTACTGTACTCACAGCCCAGTCTCTTTCTGTCCCCAGGTGATAGCTGTGGTCATGGACATGTTCACCGATGTGGACATCTTCAAGGACCTGCTAGACGCTGGCTTCAAGAGGAAGGTGGCTGTGTACATCATCGTGGATGAGAGTAACGTCAAGTACTTTCTACACATGTGTGAGCGGGCCCGCATGCATCTGGGACACCTGAAGGTGAGCCAGCTCCTTGGTTGCCTAGACAGCAGGAGGGCAGGGCTCGTTCAGTTGGTCAACAAATAGTTTCCCTATATTGGATGGTGTCCGTACCCCACACACAGAGTTCAGTGATCTTAGAGCTGTAGGCCAAGCAATCACAGAGCTTGAATGCCCCGAGGGACAGGATAGTCACTGCCTCTAACAGGCAGATAAGATAAGCATTGATTAAGTGCTTGAGGACCAGGTGCTAGAGCTCATGCCAGGTACTATATCATGTGTTATTTCAAAGCAACTTATGCCATGATAGCTACTTGTCTGCTTATATACCTCCAATGATAGGTGTATGCTCATCTCTTCCTCAGACACCTCATGCCTTATCTGGAGAGCTCCGACTCCCAGAAAGCCCTTTCTTAGCTTAAACACAAATCTGTCTCCATATAATGTCTACTCACTGGTATCAGGAGCTGACTCAGATAGAAGAAGCTCCCTAAGGCCAAGGTCAGAGTTGAAATGGATTTTAGGTGTATGAGCAGAGTAGACCAGATCTTTGGGATAGGGGAAGACAGTAGAACAAAGGAGGAGAGGAGAAGAGGTGTAGAGGAGAAGGCTGCCTACAGGGTTCTCTGCACTGCTTTGCTGGGTCTCCTTGAGTTTGCTGTCTCCTCTCTCTGGATTTCAGGAACTCATTGGCCCGGCAGAAGAGCAGATGAACTGATGTAGCTAGACTCCTCCACTCAGACAACCAGCAATTGCTTGGCACCTGCTATGTGCAGAATGTTTCCCTGATTTTAGATTGCTATGCATAGAGGCAGCTAATGCTTCTTTAGCAGGTGATGTATGTCAGGTTCCATCTGAGGCACTTCTTCTGGATCAATCTTCCCAATGATCTAGTGGGATGGGGCTGTCATTCCTATTTTGGAGATGAAGAAATGAGCATCTGTCCAGGAGTCTTCAGTGGGGGCCAGCCCCAGACCCTCAGGCTTAGCTCCAAATCCCTGGGCTTCAGGCTTGAGATCAGCATGCACATCCCAGATGGGGCAGCATGGGCTGGTTAACAAGGGGCTGGACTTTAAATTTGTAGGCATTTGTCAATACCCAGCCCCCAAGCTGAGTCTTTTCAAGTGGGTGTGACTTCTCTGCTGCCTCTAATTTTGGGGACATTTTCATGTGGTCTCCCTGGTAGATTGACCCTGAGACCAACGCCACCTGCCATATAATTAGCACTGGGAATCAGCTCCGGTGGCAGACAGCTCATGCCAGAGAGAGCTGCTGTGTGGAAAAGGCGACTCTTGGAAAGTGACTGCAGAGGCCCCACCACCTGTGCACCTGCCATACTCCAGCAGGTGTTTCCCATGTGTGTCCCTCCACAGTGAGATGCAGATGCAAGGAGAGAGCCACAGATGCTGAGGAGGTCCTAACCCAGGGCCCTGAGGCCCTTCTCAGCAGAGAAGACATGGCTGTCCCTCTGCCTGGAGTTCTGAGCTCCTAGGAAGTGGAAAGAAGTGGCTAGGGGAGGCTCCCTGCCTGTGGCTATCTGTGGGCCTGGAGAGCCTGAGCCAAAAGGGGCCCATCATCATCTGAAGTAGTCTCCCACAGGGCAGATGGGGAAACTGAGGCCTGAGGGAGGCTGTGACTTGCCCAAATTTTTTTGTCAGGGCTGAACCTAAAATCCAGAAGAGAGCAGTGGGCTCTGGCAAGGAGGGTACAGACCCCCATAACTCAGGATACCCTGGTGCTGTTCAGGGTCTTCCTATCTCCTGACTCACAGTGGGACTTGTGTGCATGGCTCCCCTCACCTCATGGCTACACTGGTGGCTCACCAGGGTGCTTGTGGGTGAAACAAAAAGACTCTGCCAAGTGAGTGCAGCTTTGCATCTGCTGGCTGTAACACAGGAACCCCAGGCCCTTGGGCAGGGGCTTGGGTGCAGCCTTCCCTACCCACCACTGGCCCATCAGCTGGCCCATGACCCTCAGGCCCAAAGAGGAGCAGCTCACACTGTAGTTCTGCTCAACCTGCCCTGCTCCACTGCCTTTCTCTCTGGGAAGGTGGCAGAGTCTACAGGAGCAGAACACCTTCGTGGGAAAGTGTTACCTGGCTTCCTCATTCTTAGCTCTGAGCTGGCTTCTCCACAGCCCTGGGCCGGTGGCTGAAGGCTCCTGGGACCCAGCCCCAGCCAGGTGTCACCTTGTCAAAGACCTGCCTGGCCTGCCTCCCTGCCTGCAGGCTGGCTGGGCCTGGACCTGTCTTGGGAGCACTTCCTCTGTGGCTAATCCATGGCCTGCCCTTGGCCACATGCTGCTCTGGCCAGCTCTGTGCTGATCTGTCCCTGGATCCATGGGACCCAGGGTACCACTTGCCCCTGGTGGGGTCATATTTGTGACCATGGGGTGTCAGCTGTTAGTCTGGAAGAGCACTAAGAGCCAAGCTTGAACCCAGCCTTGCCACCTACACTGTAACCTTGGGCAGTCACTGAAACTTCTGAGGCCTCTATTACCTTGTTGAAAAATGGGAACATTGTCATTTATTTGGCTGAACTTCTGGGAAGAGAAAGGACACTGGAAATGACTTCCCTTCTTGTTTTGTCTTTGTTTGGGACAAGCAGGGTTCCTCCTGTGAGACCCCAAGTCTGGTCTGAGCACTGAACCGTGGTCTGGTTAGGAAGCACTTTCTGTCCCTCCTCCTGAGGTCTGAGCCTGCACCAACACATTCTGGAGTGTTACTGCTTGGGCCAACCCCAGTCCTAGTCTTCTGGTGGTGTGGAGCAGCGTGCAGAGCCTCCTCTCAGGTGTGCGACCCCAGTGTCTCAGTACCTGCCTCCTGTTCAGTTGGCCTCACAATATCACAGATGGGGAGCAGGCATAGGGAAGAGCACCCTGTCTTTCACTCACTACATTCCCTCAAGGTCACAGGGCCAGGCTGGTGACCAGGCCACATTTTGGGGTGTTCCTGGGTGCTAGGGATGTACCAGGGCTAACAGGAGCCAGGCTGGGACTTAAGGCTCTTGGCTTACACTGTACAGGAGACATGAGAGGGCTGGCTGGTGTAGAAAACTACCTGGCTTTGTGTGGCCAAACTGGAAAAAACAGCAGCTACTTTAGCAAAGGCTGGACCATTTCTGTTGAGGAAGGAAACCTCAGCAGGTGACCACAGGAAGACACATGGTGAGGATGCAGAGCAAAGCCTCAGAATGGACAGATCTGCGGCCGCTCCTTTACTGATGGAAGGTGGAAAGGACACAAGATGCATCCTGAGCAGGCTTGGCCTGGGAACATGAGGCCAAGCCAGGTGTGTGGGATGCAGGGGACAGAGCCTGTCTCTCCCCCCAGCCCCCGCCTTCCCTGGGTGTGCTGGCTCTGTGCCCTCTCTGATCCAGGCCCAGGTCTGTGATGGATCTAGGGCATAGAGCAGAGATTCTTAGCTAGGGTGTGAGGGAGTCTGTCCCACATTGGGCCATGTCCAGAGACGTATTTGTCACAGATCAGAGTACCAGTGGCATCTAGTGGGTAGAGACCAAGGATATTGTTAACATCCTGCATGCCCAGCAGTGTTCCCACAACAGGGCAAGAGCAGGGACCCTCAGACAAGGATGTGGAGCTAGGCTGGCTCAGCTCTGTCCTGTCACTGCCCCATCCCACCATAAAGATGGTTCACAAAGGACTTCCCACCCCAACATCATGACAGCTTGGGAGTCAGGGTGAATACTGACCCTACACACTGCGCAGGGAAAACAGGCCCTTTAGAAGAGAGTGGAGGTTGTCTGGGCCTCATACTCCTGCTTCGCACATAAGTCTCTGCTATCTTCTATGCTCCGTACTCTTAGCCTGGCCTCACCAAAGGGTTCAGGCTTGATCAGGATGCATCTTTGGGCCTCCCCAAGCTCCTTCAGCCCAGGAGATGGTGGGAGATCCCTGCAGGGAATGGGCAGCTGAAGACCTGTCCTCAGGCTTCAGGATAGGGAGATGTGGGTAAGTCTCTTCCTTTCCCTGAGCCCATCTGGCCACCTGGCAAGCACACTGACAGTCCTGGGGTCCCTGAGGAGTCTGTACCTTCCCAGACATTTCCTGTTTCCCTGTGTCAGTCCCTCACCAAGTCCATATGCTGCCTAGAGTTCATCCCTCCTCCACTCCAACAGACAGTGGCCATCTCCTGGGACCCTCTGTATGTGGCTATACTCCATCCACATGGTAGCCCTGGAGCACAGGTGGGCAGGCCCACTTCACTGATGAGAAAACTGAGGCGTGGAGAGGGCTGGTTGGTGACTGTTTGACACCAGGACCGAGCAGCGTTTCGCAAGAGCTGCAAATGGCCAGACCTACCTGCTCCAGGGGGCCCTGGTCGTAGTTGGATCCCATGGTTTTGTGAGCCCAAGTGAGCCCAGGGGTCCTAGAGGCCTGGGTGGTTTTGGGGCAGGATGCTGCAATCCACCTCAGCTCTGGTGCCATCCTGCCAAATGCATTTGGAATGGAAGCCGCCCTATGAGAGCAGAGGAAGAGCTGCCTGGGCATCCCCATCTACGCTCCCCTACTCTGACCTTCTGAAGTCCCAGAATGTCCAAGGACTTGCCCTTGCACCCACTTGGGACAGCCCCGTGTCCCTCCACCTATCTGCTCATCCTCTGCTGGGGGTATCCCAGGACCTGGGAGACAATATGGCTTTGTGGGATGCTCCACCTCTGCTCAGACACCTGAGACATTACCTCATCTGGCCAGGCCTGTGGGGTGGGGCCACCCAGGAACAGGCCAGGAACAGCCTGGCAGCCTGGCAGCCTGGCAGCCTGGCAGGAGGTGGGGGGGCCCTGCTGCAAGCCCCTACCTGCTGCCAGGCCCCAGCCATGGATGAGATTCAAGATCAAGGGCAAGCCCTCAGTGTGCAGACAGGGCAACATAAACCCAGAGAGGGCCAGAGGCTTGCTTTGAACACAACTGTGAGCTGCTTCTCACATGCCTACTGAGTCACCCTGGGATATAAGTGCTGGCTCCCTGAGTCCTTCATCTGGACAGAGCTTGGGGTGGGGTATGGAGGCTGGTGGCCAAGGAGGAAAGTGTGGTTCCAGCACACAGAGTGTTGGGCTGGAGGCCACAGGATGCCACAGAGCTGGCTGTGGATGGCCACAGATGACAGGGGAAGGCCTCCAAGATCTTTGTTCTGACCTCTGGTCCCCAAGTGTGCTCTGTGTTGGGTACAAAGTCACGAGTATTAATTGTCCTGGGCTATGGCCAGCTTCCTGCTGAGCTGGCTGTGTGTGGACAAGCAGCCTTTGGGCGGAGGGCTGGGAGGGCCACCCTGGCAACTGAGGCTTATCTGGCTTCTGGGCTGGGCCCAACAGCAAGGTTTATCCCACTACTGGGCATCTGGGCATCGCATGAGGACTCCCAAGATCCCACCCCAATCAGCCTCTATGGATACTGCCCTGGGACCGCCTTGGCAAGAAAGGTGGGGATAGGGAAGGGAACCCAGGGCAGGGGTGCAGTGGATGAGCTGTCTCTCTCAGGCCTCCCTCAGCCTCAGTCCCCCACCCCAGTCATTTCACACATCCTTCCCAGAACAGCTAGAACTGTTCCTGACATGCAGGTCCACCACAGCACTCTCTGTTCTAATCTTCCCATGGTCCCAACTGCCCAGCCAAGCCCAGGCTCTTAAGCAGGTGTAAGGGTCTTTCATCAGCTTCTGGCTCAGCCCGCTCAGTAGGCTCCCGCACCCACCGCGCCTCCTGAGGCACTCTCGGCTCTTACACAGCCTGCACCTCGTGCCAGGCTTTGGGTCCCTCTGCCTAGAAGCTTTGCCTTCCTACCCCGACCCACATCATCCTTTCCCAGGAGTCTCTCTGGCCACCCCTACACCCAGGCTGCCTCCTCTGCAGTCCTGGCCATTCCTAAAGATTTGTTTACTCATCTGCTTCCTGTCACCTCCACGAGATCCTTGTCACCATCACCACGGTATCTGCTGCCAGGGGCCTCGCATGGGTCGGCGAACAAGTGAACATGTGGGCAGTTAATGAGCTGGGGCCAGTGAGTGGGTGAGGGGACAGATGGGTAGTCACAGCCCTGTCTGACAAAGACTGTGTCACTGTCAAGTGCCTGAAGGAGGGAGGGAGACTGCTGTCAGAGGTTTGCAGGCAGACCAGTTAGGATGCTCTTGAGGGGTTCCTGTCCTGGGTGGGTGTCAGAATCCCTGGGGCTTGAGTTAAAACTCTTAGCTTGACCACAGGCCTCCTAAGTCAGACTCCCGGGGTGGGGGGTGGGGTGTCTAGGAGCCCTGGTGAGCCTTGGGGCACATGAGCTCCAGGTCACCTGCCCAGCTGAGGTTCCACTCTGGGAGGCCTGGGCTGTTCCTCCATGCCTGTGTCTAAGCCAGGCTTGGCCTGGCTTTCTGCTCTGCCATGTCCCAGCACTGGCTTATTGAGGGGAGGGAGCTAGCACCAGGCCTAGGCCCTCAGTCACAGCCAGAGACACCACTGGAGAAGAGAGGCCCTCAGGTGGGCCCTCTGGGAAAGGCTGGCACTTGTACCTGCTCTGCCCCTCATGCTTAGTCCCCCTCTCTGGGTCTCCATTCCCCTCTGTGGCCTCTGACGGCCTTTCTACCTGCTCCTGAGCTGGGGCATCCAAGCTATATGAGGAATTGAATCTGACCATTTACCAAATTTATCCTCGATTCCAGGTAGTGTCCTGGCCCTGGGGAAGCAGGAGAGCTTGTTGTCCCTGCCTGGAGGGAGCAGAGCCAGCAGGGACAAGAAGACAGGGTATCAAGAATAGGGAGAGGCCAGTCATCTAAAAGGGCATGATTGTTAAGAGTGCAGGACCCAGATTGCTTAGGATGGATCCCTTCCTTTCCTTCACCACCTTCCTTCCTCTCTTGGTCACACAATCCTCAGCTGTTCATGGGACCCGTATAAAACATCACCCTTCCCTCAACATCTGATGTAGCCAGTCATGATGGCAGGTGCCTATAGTCCCAGGCTGAGGCTGAGGCAAGAGAATCTCCTGAGCCCAGGAGTTTGAGAACAGCTTGTGCACCATAGTGAGACCCTGACTCAACAACAAACAAAAAACCCCATGCTAACTGCCACCTGCTGCAGCAGCACTTCCCAAACTGGCCTGGCCACACAGATTTTGTCCTGCTAGGTGCTATTCTGCAGACATTCTCTGGGCTAAAGTCGAGACCTTCTTGGCCCAGTCTCTTCATTACCAGTGTCAGGTCCCTCTGTGTCCCCCTTGGGCCCTGTAGTTCCAGGTATACCACAGCCTTTCTGCAGGCCTGGCCTCATAGCCTCTTTCCCATCCTCCAACGTCCTCCCTGATCCACAGCAGTTTACTCCCACCTCACCGCCCCCATGTGATCGATATTACAGCTGTCTAATTTGGCCTCCCTGTTCCCCAATGCAGAATCTCAGGGTGCGCAGCAGTGGAGGAACTGAGTTCTTCACCCGGTCGGCCACCAAGTTCAAGGGTGCCCTGGCCCAGAAGTTTATGTTTGTGGATGGAGACCGAGCAGTGTGTGGCTCCTACAGGTGATTCTCCATGGGGGTTGGGGGGAGTGGCGCCTCTGATTCCCAGTTGGTTTCTGCCTTTAATCCTGATGTTTTATATCCTGGTTATTCTGGTTTGTTGGTCCCCAAACTGCTGAAGTGTGTATGGGGCTGGGCATGCCTGCCTGTGTATCTCTGGAGGCAGGCAGAGGAGGGCTTTTGTCCAGGGTGACTATTGTTCCAGCCCCTAGTGTCACTGGCTTGGAGATTGGGTGGAGCCAGGTCAGGATGCACCTTCCCAAGCCTGCAGAGCAGTCACTGTCACAGCCATCTTCAGGGACAGGGCTAGCTTTGCAGGTACCATCCAAGTCACTCCTAGGGTTGGTGGTGGCAGTGAGCTTTGTGATGGCACTGGGCTCCAGGTGCTAGACTGAGATTTCCATCTGCCTTATGAATTCAGCTGAGAGCACAGTGCTGTTCTACTTTGCCGAGGTGGCAGCGGCTCCATATAAATGACTTTCCCGGGCTCCCAGACTCAAGTCTGATCCCATAGCTGTGCCCTGTAATTTGCAACCCCCAGTCTATATCTTGATTCCAGCCCGTTGGTCATAGTTTGAGGGATACCAGCCTGGGGTGTATGGTGGGCTCTTCTGATGCCTGCTGGGACGGAGGAAGACTATAGAATAGGGGACCTGGGCCCAAGTGAGGTGGCAGGTCCCATGTGCATGACCAGTGCCACTCTGCCTCTGTATTGTAGCTTTACGTGGTCGGCTGCGAGGACAGACCGGAATGTGATCTCCGTGCTGTCTGGCCAGGTGGTGGAGATGTTCGACCGGCAGTTCCAGGAGCTGTACCTCATGTCACAGGGTGTCAGCCTCAAGGACATCCCCATGGAGAAGGAGCCAGAGCCGGAGCCTGTTTTGGTACCTGCTGTGGTCCCCCTGGTGCCTGCCGGCTCTGTGGCCAAGAAGCTTGTTAACCCCAAATACGCACTGGTCAAGGCCAAGAGTGTCGACGAGATTGCCAAGACCTCTTCCTCTGAGAAGCAGGAGGTCAAGAGGCCCCCAGGGATGCGTGGCCCTGTCCTGGCCGAGCGGCTGGGTGACCTCCCCGAGTTGCCACTGCCTATCCACCCAGGACTGCTCAACCTGGAGAGGGCCAACATGTTTGACTACCTGCCCACATGGGTAGAGCCAGACCCAGAACCTGGCAGTGACATCTTGGGCTACATCAACATCATTGATCCCAACATTTGGAATCCCCAGCCCAGCCAGATGAACCGCATCAAGATCCGTGACACCTCCCATGCCAGCACCCAGCACCAGCTATGGAAGCAGAGCCAGGAGGCCCGCCCTTCTCCAGGGCCCACCAGCCCCCAGGACAGGGTCCTAGCTGAGAATGGCTTCCCCCAGGGGGACCTTGAGCCACAGCCTCCTGTGCCCAAGCCCCGGACAGTCCCCGTGGCAGACCTACTTGCCCAGGATGGCAGTGGTGTTGACTGGGCCCTGGAAGCCTCCAAAGAGGAGATGACCACAAATGGGACAGACCTTGGGTTGCCCAGGACAGTGGACTCAGGCCATGCCCCGCTCCAGCGGCAGCTGTCTGTGACCCAGGATGACCCTGATGGCCTGGGAGCAGGGCTTCCCAATGGGCTGGATGGGGAGGAGGAGGAAGAGGAAGAAGACGATGATGACTACGTGACCCTCAGTGACCAGGACAGCCTCTCAGGCAGCTCTGGCCGTGGCCCTGGTCCCCGGCGACCCTCAGTGGCCTCTTCCATGTCAGATGAGTACTTCGAGGTGAGGGAGCGCTCAGTCCCCTTTCGGAGGCGCCACTCAGAGCAAATGGCCAATGGGCCAACCCAGCTACCCCGCCCACAGCTGAGTGCCCCCCACATAACCCGAGGGACCTTTGGTGGGCCCCAAGGTGGCTCCTCGTGGGTACAAGGTCGGATAAGAGAAGAGTCAGATGCATCGAGGAGGATGCAGGCCCAGCGCTCTGGGGACAAGGAGGCACAGGTGGGTCAGGTCCCTCGCACCAGGGGTCATAGGAGTCCCTCACTGCAAATGGCCTAAGAGTCCAGAGCTGTCAGCCCTCTGGGCTACATGTCCTTGGATCAAAGGGGCAACTGATGAACAGGGATGGGTAGGAACCACCTGGTGCCTCTTGGCAGGTCATTATCATGCTAGGGACTCAAGCAACTGAAGAAAATGCATATCCCTACACCCAGAGGTCTCAAATCCCTAGGGTAACAGGATTTTGATGCTGCTTACCATGTAGGTAGGGCAGTCCCTAGTTTGCAGACAGACAAGGGAATAGCAGGGTTTATACCCTCAAGGTCACACAGCTCTAAGTGGTCCTTGTCTGAACTTTGCACCAAGCCACCTCAGTGTTGACTCCTTTTGGGCTCTGAGGAGGATCCCTTCAACCCCATGCTGGGCAACAGTTTACATCCCTCTTTTGCCTCTCCTCCTAGTGGTCTCTGTAGGACAAGGCCTTGGAACATGGGCAACCTGCAGCCCTGCCTCAGTACCCAGAGCCTGTCCTACCTGGAAATAGTGCACGGCTGATCATGCCTGGCATGATCATCAGACCCATGGGCAGCATCTTGAGGTAGCTGGCAAGGATGGATCCTGCCTTGGCATGGTTCAGGTTCCGGGCAGACAGTGACCGCTGCACGATGACCTGCAGGTGGGGTGAAAGAGGGAGTAGATCCCAGCCCTTCTGGATTCCTGGGGCAGGATTTCTCCCTGGTGAGCCTCAGGGAGTGGATTGAGACAGGACATGGTCTCATTAGCCCTGGATCTAATCTAGATAATCACAGAACTCTGACACCTGATGGAGAGCTTGCCCAGCTGGCAAGTACATTTGTTCCCAGAAACTCTGTCTCCTCATCTGCCCAACAGGGAAAGCATGGATCCTGTCCAGTCCTCTGCCCCAAGCAGTTGTTAGGGATGGGGGAGTCTCTGGGTAGGATGGCATCAAGGGCACCACTCTCTGCCCTCAACTCCTGGACCCCCTCATGAGAGTGGTAGGTGCATTCATGCATGTGCCAGGAGCAGACATTGGTACAAACTGTGTGTGGGTCACAGGCAGAAGTTGGGAGTTTTCAGACCTAGGACTTGGGGAGCTTGCAGCTGAGTAGTGGAGGGCCACTCAAAGGTGTCTGAGAACAATGAGGTCTCTGGGGACTTTAGGAAAATCCTAAAGGCTTCAGTTTCTAGATCTATAGAATGGGAGGACATGAGAACTATAATTTAGACTGATGACATCTGAGATCCCTCCCAGCTCTGATGTTATGATTCTACTTAAAAAAAAAAAAAAAGAAGAAGAAGTGGGCTGGCAGTATAGCTCAGTGATGAACACTTGAGGCCCTGGATTTGATTCCCAGCTGTACAAAAACAAAACAACCCAACTGTAACTCTTTTTAAGCAGCCTTGTTGAGACATAATTCACAGACCCTATGATTTCCCCTTTAAAGGCAGTTACTCTAATTTTTTTTTAATACTATGTTCATGGTCATACAACCTAGACCCCTGAAATGTATTTTTCCTGTGCTTTTCCACAGTTTAAATCACTACCTGCAGCTCAGAAGTGGGCATTAGTGTGATGCCAGCTTCTTTTCCAAGCATGCTAGTTTGATAGCACTGACCCCTTGGGAGTAGCTCTCCTGGGACATTCATTACAGATGCAAAGCAGGCCTGAGGTGCAGCCCTGGGGACACAGACAGCTGATTGCTGTCCTGTTTCTCCACCAGCTTGTGACTTGGGAGAAGTCATTACTTCACTCTGAGCCTATTTCCACATCTAGACAGGAGGCTGCTGGAGGAGATTCTGTCTAGGCTCTTGTGCTCTCCTATCTTGTGGCTGCAAGAGCCTTGGGCCTCAGTCAACAGGAAGGGAACCATTCCTTAAAACCTTGCACATCTGTCATCTTCTACTGTTGTTAGGGGATATTTATCCTTCACTATTTCATCCTGTGCTCACAGCAGTTAGGGACAGGTGCTGTGCCACAGGGGAAAAGCTGAGACTGAGTTTCTGTGAGCCATGAGACCCATCAGCAGGGCAGCAGTCCCTCTGCCTGAGTCTCAGGCGCAGGGCTAGGACTCTCCCCTTGGTGTCGGCAAGCTGCTGCCTCACAGCACCTCTCCCCAGGATGTAGTCCCAGCTTGGTCCTCCCTCCTGTGGGGGCTGGTGCTCCTGCCCCAAACTTGAGCATTTTGTCTCACTGAACGTCTGTCTTCCATCTGCAAAATGGGTTACCGTCACCAGCCCAAGGATTGTTGAGAGGACTGAGGGCGCTAGTGTAGAGGCCTAGCTGTGACTGTGAGCCAGCCACAGCTGACTGCAAAGGGCAATGGTTACTGTTAGGATTGAGGCTGCTGCTGGCCCAGAGGAAGACATTCCATATGGTCCAGGCTGACCCAGCGAGAGGGAGGAGGATGGGAAACAAGGCTGAGACCCTCTGGTCAGCCCTGAATGCTGGCCGGTGCTCTGATCACCTGAGGTCAGCAGGGTTCCTCCTCTGCCTCCTGGGTGGCTCTCTCTAGGCCTTGGGCACCTTATCTGTGCAGTGAAGCCTGTGCAGCCCTGATTTAAGGCCAGGCTTCATGCTGACTCATTGGCCTTCATGGGAGAATCTCCTGAATGCTGTCCCACCCAGACGCCTATGCTGTGCCAGGCTATGCTTCCTGGGAAGAAACAGGAGGTGGCCAGGGTGAAAGGCTTAGCCCAGCCAGGGTACCCACACTCCAGCACACCCTCCACTGCCACCTTTCAACCCCCTGGGCCAGCCCTCAGCCTTCCTGGGAGCGCTGGGCAGACCCATGCTGGGAGCCATCTGCTCCCTGGAAAACCCAGGCAGGAGGCATAGCCAATGGAAGGATCTAGGGGATGCCAGTAGTAGAGGAGCCCTGCTTGAGGGCAACGCATTACATATAGGAAAACTGAGGCCCTGTCTCCCAGAGTACCTAATACCGCCCAGCCTGGATCACTTGCCACTCTGGGAACCCAGGGAGGGTCTTTGGTACACACTGACAGAATTAGGGAAGGCACTTTCCCCTGGTGCACATCTGGCTGTCTCTGGGCCTACATGTTCTAGCCTGTGAATGGGTCTGGCCTGGCCTGCCTCACAGAGGAGGTGTGTGGGAGGCTCTGAGCACCCTCATGTTAGGCTCGGTGGCCAGCTGTGGTCTGCTGGTCTGGCTGCTTCCTCATCCCCTGGTGAGGGTTCCCCTGGGGCTGGCCCTGGAGGAATGGATGGGAAGGACCTGAGTCACTTCTTGCCTTCAACGGAAACCCAGGTGCAGAGCGAAGTGCTACCCCCAGTCAAACCTTTCAATCTTTTTCTAACCATATCCCGAATATACTATATGGATAGAGGAGGCAGGGGTGGGGACACTGAGGAAAGGTGGCAGGAGCTTGCCTCATTGTAACCACAAAGGGCAGGATGATGACGTGACAAATGAGGAAATTGAGATCCAAAGTGATTAAACCTGTTGATGAGTGGCAGAGCCAGGAGGTAAATGCATGCTTAGTGAGAGTCCCATGCAAGAGATAGAGCTAACTTCCCTGCCCATCCCTCCCAAACTCCTCATACTCTGCTGTCTTTCTCCCAGGGCCAGCAGTTCCACCACTACAGAGGCCCTGCCTCGAGGACCTCAGGACCTCCCTGTTACCGCCCTGCTGCTGATGGCACTCAGAGCTCTCCAAGGAAAGCCAGCCTGGCTGTGGGAGGCCCCCACCCCTGGCAGCCCAAGGCTGGCCCAATAACCCGTGTACTGCCCAATCCTGGAAGCCCAAGGCTGGCACGAAATGCCCACATCCTGGCTGATGGCAGGGCTGCTGGGGAGCATTCGAGTCCCTTTGGAATCCCATACTCCAAACTGTCTCAGTCGAAGCACCTAAAGGCCAAGTCAAGTGGTAGCCAGTGGGCCTCATCTGATTCTAAGCGGAGGGCCCAGGCCCTCCGGGACCACAAGGACCCCTAGGAGCCTGGCCTGGGCTGGACCCACCAGAGTCTGCTCTGGAGGGGGTGGGCAGTTGATGCTGACACTCACCTGGTCCGTGCACCAGTACCAGGTGGCCATGATGGTTAGGCCGAAGGTCATTCCGGTCCATGGGAGGTCCCCTGTTTGGGGATTCCGAAACATGTGCATGGCGTCTGCACGTGGCAGGTGGCAGGTGGTGTTGGCAACGGTCCTGGAGGGTACGGCCCGGGCATACACTGCTTCTAGCTGTCCGTAACCACCAATCTGGTCAAAAGCTGGAGGGAAACAGGTGTGACAGGGCCACATGGTGGTTGGTGGCCCTGAATCCACCTCTCATCGCCCTTATCTCACGAGTAACTTCGTAAAACAGCAAACTGGAGTTCTTCCCGCCTTGCCTTTCCTGGTGTTTGGAAAGGTATGGTGAGTAGAGGGTTTAGAAAACAAGGTGAATTTAAAATAACCTTTTTTTTTTGGTACTGGGGATCGAACTTGGGTCCTTGTGCTTTCGAGGCAGGCGATGGAACCACTGAGCTAAATCCCTGGCCCTAAAATAACTTTTATTTGTATTTAAAATAATACTATTAAATGAGCATTTTGCACTTGGGCACTGTGGTGTCCTGTTGGCTGGATGGGAATCACTGCTGGTCCCCAGATGCTTGTTGGCCTCAGGTAAGGGGTTCTTTGCCACTCAGGGAAGCAAAAATACTTTTCTTGGCATCCTGAGGACCTTCCTTGGGCATGTGAAGAGGTAAAGACCTGCCTCAGGGCTTATAAAGGGTGCAGTTTCACTAGAGCTAAGAATGACTGGTGGTGGTGTGGTTCCTTCCAGGCCACACACAACCTGTTGGGGAGGTGGGGGTGCAGCCAGGGGTCTTTCCTCTTGAGTCCAGAGCACATCTGTTTTCTCTCTGTTCCTGTTTACCTGGGGGTCAGCATGGCCAAGCTACCTGGCTCTGCATGGCCAAGGTCTGGCCTGACTATGGCTTTGCCATGTGTGTGGTCACTCCTCCTATGCACACTGGGTCTGGCTGGCTGGGTCCCTGATCTAAGAGAGGAACCCTGGGCATAGGAAAACCCACCTATGCCCCAGGCCCTGCTGACCAGCAGGATGTGTAAGAAGGATCCCAGTCCATGATCTGTGTTTGGGTAGGAATCTGTGAAGCTCAGAGCAAACATACAAGGGTTAGAGACTGCTCAACCACACATTCTTAGACCCTGAGTCTGGAAGTCTTTAAAGGCTTCTGTTTACCCTCTGTGAGATCCTCTCTGCTCCACTTGCCTACTTCCAGGGATGGAAAACTCACTAACTCCTGGGACCACCCTATAAGCTTATTTGTTCAGACTAGTATCACCAGTCTGTCTAAACTTTCCTCCCCAGCCTTTGTCTAGCAGGAGGCAGCATCACTTCTTAGGTGTTTGTACATGATTTTAAACAATTGGAGGTGACGCCCAAGTTCTGTGGTCTCCTAATTGTGTGCCTACACACCCACCTGTCAAGCCCCAAGCCAGGAAGACATGGCCAACCCTGTACTCCTGAGTCAGCTCCTCTCCAGTGTGCAGCTGGTGACAGCTGGGTGGTGAGGGAAGGGAGGAGGCAGGGGGAATGAGGGAAGGACTGCCTTGTGGCTTGACCTCAAGAGCCCCATAGGTGTGGGGACAGCCCCTACCCCACTGTGGACTGAAGCCCCAGCCCTCACCTTTGATGGCCAGGATGACAGCTCCCACCACCATGATGACTGTCTGCAGGGCATCTGTGTAGATCACAGTGGCCAGGCCCCCTGAAAGGGAACAAGGTAGCTGGAGGGGATCCCCTGGCCTTGAGGGAGATGGGACCCAGGAGGTAAGTCCCAGAGCTCCTGGTAGGCAAGCTGTGAGCAGGAGCACCAGAATCTGCAGTCATATCCCTAGTCCCAGGGGTCCCCAGAGCTTGTGGGAGGAAATGGCCCTCTACCTCATACATGTGTCCCCTGGTTCCCACTAAGCCATAGGGTGGCAGTCAGGCCCTCCCTGTGGCAGTGCTTACCTGCGATTGTGTACAAAGCTGTGATGAAGAGTGTGAGGATGGTGGAGAGGTAAAAGTTCCATCCCAGGCAGATGTGCACAAAGAGTGCCCCGGCGTACAGGTCAATCTGGGGGAGGACAGAGTCCAAGCAGAGGTTGGAGGTTAACGTGGGCTCCAGGACTCAGAGCCCAGATGCTGCTACTGACTGGCCATGTGACCTGCGTGAGGCCCCCTGTGGGCCTGGGTGACCCATGTATGAGGGAGGGAGACCTCTGCCTGCTGCCTATCCATATCAGGGGCTTTTCTGAGGGTGGGAGGAAGAATTGGCTGTGGACAGCTGTGTGCTGTGTTCAGATGAAAAGGGGATATTACTGTCATTAATAAAGTCCAGAATGGTCAATGCCTACTGATGTGTTGCTATTGAATTTGGCCCCTGACTAGGGGACACAAAAGGCAGAGCCCTGTCCTCTTGGTTTCTAGGGAGATCTTCATAAGGACTCCAAAGGGATTCCTGGGGGAGGCCTAGGACAACAGGTGGGCCTTAGAAAACAGGTGCTATGGCTAGGTTAGGGGAGCCAGGGGTAGTTTTGCTTACTGTCCCCAGGAGGGTTGGACCTGAAAGCAGCAGCACTCAGGGACATATTACAGGCTGAGGTTAGTTCCAGGGCTGGACTGGACAAGCTCTGCCATTCAGAGTCTGGGACTGCTTATGCAGCAGAAGTCCTAGCTGGGGTGAGGCAGCCTCAGTATAAGAAGGGCCTTATAGAGCATAGTCCCACCCTCCAATTGGCAGTTAGGCCCAAAGAGGGATCGAGGGGAGAGGCCTGTCCTATGGGATCTGGGGCTGGATGATGGGTTCCCTACTACACCTCTTTCCAAACCTGCTAAACTTAGCAGAGGAGAGATGACCCAAAATATACTCTGGGACCAAGGTTCCCAAAGGAGGCTGGGGCAGGATGTGGTTAGCTAAGCCCACAGGTGTGTGGGGTAAGTTTGGACCAGATTGACTTTCTTGGGGCCCAGGAGTCACAACCAAGCCTTTTGAACTCCCCCAGAACTGGTCCAAGTTAGCGCAGCCAGCTCTTCTTGGCACAGCCAGAGATCAGGGATCAGAGACAGCCCAGGTGAGGAACAGGATCAGCTCCAAGCTGATGGTGTTCCCTACCTGTCCCTCAGGAATCATTCCTATGCTTGGAGAGACCAGCCGATGTGTTTTCAGGAGAACACTGACCCTATCATTGCAGTCCTCAGCTTCAACAGTGTGTTGGGAGGGGAGTGGCTCAGGGAGAGATAGGAGGGGTCAGCTAAGAAGCTGCGCTCAGAAGCCCAGAGTGCTGAATATCAGAAGAGGAAAAACTCTTCAAGGTCCCACCCCATAGGACCGGAGAAGAAACAGGCCCAGGAAGGGGATAGGACTTCTCAAAGTTAGCAGGCCCCTCTGCTAGATATCAGCAATTGAGTTGCCAGGTGAGACAAGACCCAGAGGGTGCAGGAGGTCTCTAGAAAGCCTGCTGCAACAGTTTTCCCCATCTGGCTGTCTTCCAGCTGCTGCTCAGGACCCCTTGCTGGACCCCAGGTGAGAGGGACAGAGCCCTGGTCTGTGCACCTGATCTTTAGGTTCCGGGCACACTAGATCAGCAGCCTTCGTTCCATGCCTTGTCCTTTGCTGCCTCCAGGCCTTGTTCACCCGCGCCCTCTGCCTTTACCGTCCCAGCTTCTGCCTCTCATCTTTCAAACTCAGCCATTCCAGGTTCCTGACCACTATGTCTCATGGATAGTTAGTCTTCCCTCCCTTCCTTCTGTGGTGGCAGGCTTCTAACAGTACAGGCAAAGATATGGGGTGGACCTTTAACTGTGTCTTCTCTGTAGGATCCTACATGATGTCCACAGGTCCTGAAAAGAAGCAGTTGCCAGTATCCCAAAGGAATTTCCAATGCAGACATTCCCTGGTCCCGTATGACCCTCCTGCAGCATAAGCTCTTTCCTGGAGACCCAGGTCTGATAGAAGCTGGCAGTTGCACAGACCTGGGTTTGTGTCCCTGGCCTGCAGTGTCCGGGCCATGTCACTTTATGAGCAGGTCATTTCACTTCCTGAGACTTATTTGTAAAATGGGCGAATGGATATGGAGCAACTGCAATTGTTTCTACCAGTCTGGCTGAATGAAGCGTGAGATTCCTTATCTCTGCAGCTCTCTTCATCTGCCACCTGCTGGTCTGGCAAGAGAGACTCAAGGAAGATCATGTGACCTCGGAGGGGCCTTTCTCTTCTTTGTGCTCCCCCTTTGGGTGGTCCCAACAGCAGCTGCAGTCTAATCTAACCTCCTGAAGACACAGCTGGAGTCATCCAGGCCAACACAGTAAAGGAACCTGCTCATGGCGGCAAAACCATGAAGACACAGTTTAAAAAAAGAAAAAACAAACAGCACTGTACATGTGCCTCCCCAACAAAGGGTCAGTCTCAAGGGCCTAGTTAAGGTAATCCAGGGCCTCACTCCAAGCCACTGCCCAGTAGGGCCAAGCCACCGATCCATCCAGACTCAAAAATTTGCCCCAGCTGCAGGATGATATCTAGGATCCTGGCCAGCTGCCTGCTCCTGGGAGTTCATCTCTATCTCAGTCTTCCTCCCGGCTCCTTCCCTCCAGCATGACTCCCACACTGCCCATACCTGCTACCTACAGGCTGCTTCCCTTGTCTTGTGCCCACAGCCCCTGCCAGTCTTCCAAAGCCCTAGACATCCCCCAGGAAGCCCTTGCCACCTTGGCATCTTTGATAAGTGATAAATGATCATGTGTTTAATCTAATGCTCTAACTCATCTAATGTCTCCTAGGATTATCAACCTTGGGCACAGAGAAGCAAAGCCCTTGCTCAAAGGCCTGCAGTCCCAGAAGGCAGGGTCTGCTCCTGGGTCTGTGAGCTCCCTAGAAAGGAGGGCCAGGTTGCACAAGGGAGCACAGTGTGGAGAGAAGGCAGCTCTGCCCCTTGCACCAGCTGGCCACCACCAGGGACATGTGGAGGCCAGAGCCCAGTACCATGAGGAGCATGGTTCTGCACAGGGCAGGCTGGGGCTGACCTGCAGGCTTGCACAGCTTGGAACTTCAGCTTCTGTGTGCACAAAGGAGGCTCATTCTATCAGTCACTGGAAACTGGAGTCTGGGGTGCTCCTGCCATACCTATCCTCCCCCCACCTGGCCACCCTCTTCCCTGGAGCTCCTTCTTTTCCTCTGTAGGGTGGTGGAGAACCTGGAGTGGACACTGCACTGACGTTTAACACAGATAACTGTATGACTTTTCCCCCTAAATTTTCTCCCATGTCCCCTGCCCCAGGGCCCTGCCTATTTCTTTCCTCCAGAGGCTCAGCTCAGGAGCTTCTTGCCTTTACTATACTCCCTGCATTTGACGCCAACAGACCACTGAGGATTCTCTCCCCAGTATGCGTCCACTCTCTTTTGTAGCCCTCGCTGGTCTTTCTGGTACAAGGCTCCTTCAGAGGAGAATCAGAAGGGGCCTGCATTGGTTCAAGGAATAAAGTCCACTTGTCCCATCCCTGCCTAGCCCATAGGCCCCACCCAACCCAGAAGCCCCTCTCAGCTGGATTCCTTGTTGGGTTGGAAGGCTCTACCCAGCCCAGTGTAGAGACCCTGTGCCCCCGCTGCTCATCATTACACCTCTTCTAAAAAGCTGCCCCAGCCCAGCAGCTTCCCTGGCTCTGTGGACTTGTGGTCATTCCTGTCTTGGACACTGCAGTAGCAACATGGTGTGTCATGCCAGCCCATGAGCTTTCAGCCAAGCTGCTCCCTGCCTGGCTCTCCCTGTTCTCTGTTGCAGCCCCATGTTTGCTTCTAAGATCATGCTTTTACCCTTTGTTGTGATTATACGGTTCTGTTTACATATCAGGTCTGGAAAGCGCTTATGGGGTGCTCCGGAGGCCTGCCCAGAGCCAGACACACAGTAGGTGCACAATAAGTAGGTGTGTTTTCCCAGACAAGGAGTGGAACCCTAAAGCCCCCAGGTCAAATCTAGTCCCCATGGCACTGTTGTCCAAGGCTGGAGAAGCTTTGGAGTTGGACAGAACTTTGTGGCCCCAAAGCTGAAAATAATCACTATCTGGTTCTTCTCAGACAAATATGCCCATCATTGGGATATATTATTGAACTCAGTCACAGGATAGGTGTTGGGCATGTACAAACATTGAAGACATATCAGTGAACAAAGAAAAATGGGGAAGGTAGACTATAGATGCCCTGAGTCAATTATTCAGCATGGGAGAAGATGCTAAGGGTAGAAAAAAGGAGAGAAGAAAGCGGGCAGGACTTCTAGGGAAAAGAGAGGCCAGTGAGGCAGCAGGAGCCACATGATGGAGGGCCTTGTGGGTCACAGTTGGCCTTTAAGGGATATGGGTTATCTTGCCTGGTTCCCCTAGTTGCAGGGGCCCAAAGCCCTACAGCGATGGAACTGCACCTTGGACCCCCTGTTGGAGCTCAGGTGTTAGCTCCCTGCACTCTGTCCTCACAGTGCTTGCTGGAGGTCAGTGTCCTGTCTGCAGGACAGCCTTGTGATCCTTGTCTGGGCAGGCTGTGTCTGGGACAGTTCTGGATGTGCAGACATTGAAGATGTTCCTGGGACTCGGCCCAGTGAGGTCAGGGCCTCTGGGGGGAAGTGAGGAGCACACACTTCAAACAGCTCCAATCCAAAGCCATCAGCCAGGACAGTCCTGGTTGCTCCCCTGCCAAGTCAGCAATTAAGTGTTCCTTTTGAGTTACCCTCTGCCTCATCCCAGCAACCCCAGTGTTGGTTCTGAAGCCTGCTCTTGATGTGACTGATTGTTCCCCATTTTATAGCCAGGTGCCCTGAATCATCCCCATCACAAGGTGGAGTCAGAAGCACTGGCTGCAGGGAGTGGGGACAATATGTGTGGCCTGGCCCCTGGGGCAGGAGGCAGGGTTCTGACTGATCTCTGTCTGGTTTGTCATGACCTTGGCCAAGGGACAGTGTCTGACCAGGTCTCAGTGGTCACATCTACAAATGGGTGCTGGAGGACAGCGTCTAAGGATCCTCCCACTTGGCCAAACTCTTCCTTCAGCCATTCCAGAAGTCCCACCCCAGCCACTCACCCTTCCAGCCCACCCTCTGGGAGGTTCCAGAGAGCACTGACATGCAACCTGAACCTACCACCCCCTGTCTGATGCTACATGCCCCTCAGGCTCTTGGACCTCTTCCAACTGGAGCTCCTCAGTTTTATCTCTCCGTAGCCCTCTAGGTCAGGTGTGGAAGGCTGGCAGCCCAAGGGCCAGATGTGGCACCTGCCTGTTTTTGTGAATGCTGGGGCACATTCTCTGGTTTGCCTCGGTCCCCGTGTTATCTCACTCCCAGTCCTCACACCATTTCCTATCTGGCTCTGGGAAGTATCTAACCCAATTGCCCCCAACGCATCCTACACTGTCCCATCTCTCTCTTTGGTATTTGTTCTCCCTCCCCTAGCAGTGTCCTTTCCTCAAAAGATGCCCAAATCAGATGTCAGTCCCTCCTCTCACAAGCTCTATTGCTTTCTTTTCTGAGGTCCATGCTTGTCTGTCCTCTTTCTCTGTCTACCTCCTGCCTCCTACTACGCTGAGAGCCAGGGCAGATCAGAGCCAGGTGCTATCTATTTCTGTATATCTGGATTCCAAAGAGGTAGGCTCAGGAGATGGGGAGCCTCAAGGGCAGCCTGAGGCCAGGTCCCTCAGGTTCTAAGGGGATCCACTAAGGAAGAGAAACTCTGAGGATTCCTTGAGAACATCTAGTAATGATGGTGATTTTATGCTTACTGCTAACAATCCCCAGAAACTGGCTACATTAACCACAAGATGCTCTGAGGAGCTTTTCCCTACCCTGAGTAGCCCTGTAGGCACACAGCATAGGAGAGGCAAAGCTACTGTTACAGGAACCTAAGGAGGAGGGGGCAGGCCAGTGCCCAGTCAGACCCAAGGCAGGGCCCAGGGAAGGCTCTGGTTGGTGCTCTCAGAGCCCTTCCTCAGGTGTTCCCACAGCTTCTGGCTGACCAGCAAGACCTCAGCCTCTGTGGCCTCCATGCCTCCCCAGGCCTGGATTTTCCTAGTCCCAGAGCTGAAGAGATAGGGACAGGAGATGACTTTGCTGCTGAGAAGAGAGCTAGGCCCCACAGAGCACATCCCCCAGACTACAGGCAAGCCATCAGCTACCTTCAGGCAGACAAGAGGTGGGCAATGTCAGTCCTTCTTACAAGTGGAGGAAGTTGAAACTCAGGGAGGCTCAGAGACTGGCTGAGGTCTCTGCCTCAGTCAGAATGAGCAGCCTCCAAACCCAGGCTCCTTTGAAGCCTGAAGCTGAGTGAGGCTGGAAACTCCTGGTGACCGGGAATGCCAACAGGGCGTGGGGACCTGGTATTGTCAAAGTCTGTGAGCAGAGGCTTGAGATGAGTTCTTTCACTTCCTTGGGCCTCAGTTTTCCTATTTGTAAAATCAGGGGTTCAGACAAGGCAGGGTCTGGGCCCCTACTGACTTTGACATTTGAGGCGGGCTTCCTGCTCCTAATATTCTCAGATCCAGGACCTAGGGAAGAGCTGAAGACATGGAGCTGCCCAGAGTGATCAGGGTGGGAAGCAGGAGATGGCTCCATGCAAATGCAGACCTGCCAGAGGCCATGTGGGCTTCTGTCACCCTCTAGTGGGAGATTCTGGCTCACCCCGATGAAGGCTACAAAGAAGACACACAGGTCTGGGCCCCCTACCACTCCCACCCAGTAGGGTTGGCAGCTGAGCTTTCAGCCCAGGGTCTCTGGATCAGCTGCCCCAGACTTGCTGTATGACCCATTGTTCCCCTCTGGGTCTCAGTTTTTCTATCTGTTAAACAAGGTGGAGATGGATGAGAGGATGTCAGGTCCATTTGAGAGGCCGATGGGGTATATTTCCGGGCTATGCTGGTGGAGGGTGGGGTAGGGGCAGCTCACCGATATCTTGGTAAAGACAGACAGCAGCAGGGAGAGGACGGATAGATATATGCGGATGCGCTGGCCTCCAAAGCGCTTCTGAATGTATTCAGGCAAGGTGACAATCTGGGAAGGCACAGGGACAAGGGCTAAGCACTCCTTGGAACAATGCTTGCTTTCAGGGTAGGGGCCCATCCCAAGAGCTCCACCTCTCCCTTGGCTTGTGAAATGGCTGTGAGCCTCCCAAGGGCAACAACAACAGCAAGGGCATTTACTATAGCCCCAGCCCCAGCCCTAAAGTTCAGGCTCAGTTTTGACTGTCCTCTAAGGTTCCAGGCAGGGGAGTGGCATGCTAAGATTGGCTCTTCAGGACTCAGATGAGGAATGGATTGAAGGAGCCACAGCTGAGGACAAAGGGACAATTTGGGAGACTGTTGTGACAAATCCAGAGGAGCTATGATGAGGCTGGTTGGGGTGCAGCTGAGGGCAGGTGTGGCTCTGAAAAAGATCCAGGGAAGGAAACCTTGTTTTTTTTTTGGTACCGGGGATGAAACTCGGGACCTTGTGCTTGCAAAGCAGGCGCTGGAACCACTGGGAAGGAAACCTAATGGGCTTAGTGCCAATGAAGTGGGGTTGAAGGATTGGGTGGGTCAAGGACGTGCAACCAGGTGTGCTACCCAGATATACTGCCCAAGTATGCAGGTAGATGGAACATCACCCCTGAGCTGCTGCCTACAGGGCAGTGGAAATGAGCCAGCAGGCACACGGGTTGTGGCCCAAGGGAACCTACTTTATTTAGTGGGCCAATAGAAATGGTAGTTGGACTGATAATAAACCCAGCCTGGAGGGTTCTCCAGCTTAGACATGAGGCCTCAGGAGTCCTGCCTACCACCACCAATTTGGCCCAAAGCCCAGCTCCCAGACTCACCTCTGAGGAGATGTAAATGGGCACAAACACCCATGCCAGTGCCAGGAGAACATATGTGGCCTGTGGGAACAGAGGCAGGTGAGGGACACCCATGTGGCTCCCCAAAGCCCTGCCCCTAGACATGACTGGATGCAGTGGGAACTATTGGTCTGGAGGCCTGTCTCTCCTGCCTGGTTTGGTGTAAGAACCTTGGCAGGCCTGGGAGAGGGGCCTCCCCCTCTCTGGCTGGGCTTCTGTAGGGCCCCCTCCCTGGGTGAGCTTCTGTAGGGCAGGGGCCCACCCCAACAGCTCCACCTCTCCCTTGGGATGTGAAATGTCTGTGAGCCTCTCAAGGGTAACAACAACAGCAAAGGCATTTACTATAGTCCCAGCCCTAGCTCCAGTCTTAAAGTCCAAGGCCAAGCCAAGGCTATTAGCTCCTGTTCAACTGTGCTGTCCAGTGGGTTGATATCTTGACTAGTAGCTTGCCTAGGGACACTGGCACTCAGCCTGCCTAGACATGGGCTGACACATGTGACTGGGGTCTACTCACAACCAGGCACTGGTTATGGTTGCTACACCCTGTGCCCCAGCCCTCCCATAGGTTGTGCCTGTCTTCCAGGGCTCACATTCCATTCAAAGCCTGCCACAGCCAGGCCTCCAGCTGCACCTGAGCCAGCCAATCCAACAAAGAGGCCAGAGCCCTCACTGCTTGCAAAGAGGGAGGCTCCAATCTGGAGGGGAAAGAGGAAAACCAATCAATGGCAGGCCCACCATGCAGGCTCCACCCTGGACCCGACAACTTCACAAACTTAAATGCGGTCCCATTCCTAATTTAAAGGTAAGGAGCCCAGGCTACTCTGGGTTGGCTACCCAGCTAAGGAACAGACAAAGTTTTCAGACTCTAGATCCCCATCCTTTACCCAATTTCCTTCAGCCTGTCCCTACATGCCCAGTTTGGGGTTCTCCTGCTAGCCTCAGGCCTGGTCCATTGAGCCAGGCCTTGGATGAGGATGACACCTGAAATCACCTCAGGGATGCAGATGGAAGCCGACTTACAGGCTGGATGGAGGGGGTATGGTAAGTCAGGGTTCACTCACCGGCCACCACGTCATGTCCCGGCCTGCCAGGAAGTAGCCACTCACTGTATTCCTGCTGGCTCGACAAGAAGACTATGAGAACAGAAGAGAAGAAGCAGGAATTGGAACACTGTGCACTGCTGGTGGGAATGGGCTACTGCTGCAGAAAAAGGTTGGCAGTGCCTCAAAAAAAAAAAAAAAAAAAAAAAAGCACAGACAGGGCAGAGTGGCACATACTTATAATCCCAACTACTTAGTAGGTGGAGGCAGGAAGCTCACAAGTTTGAATCTGGGCAATTTAGCAAGACCCCATCTTAAAATAAAAAGGGCTGCAGATGTAGCTCAGTGGTAGAGCATTTGTGTGAGGCTCTGTTTCAGTTCCCATAACAAAATAAAAAGCATAGAATTGTCATGTAACTCATGTCATGCCACTCCTAGGTTATACCCAAAAGAACTGAAATCAGATGTCCACATAAAAATTTATATAGGAATGTCCACAGCAGCACTACTCAGAATAGCCAAAAGTGGAAACAACCCAAGTGTCCATCAACTAATGAATGAATAAATAAAATGTTGTATAGCCATACAATGGAATATTATAAAAAAATAAACTCCCAACACCCAAAAAAGAGAAAGGAATGAAGTTCTGATACATGCTACAACTTGAATGAACCTTTAAAAGATTATGCTAAGTGAAAACAACAGACATAAAAAGCAACATATATGTAATTCCACTTATATGCTATTCAGAAATCCATGGAGACAAACACAGATTAGTGGCTCCCAGGAGATGGGGAGTACGAAGAATGGATAGGAATTCCTTTTGGAATGATGAAAATGTTTTAAAGTTAGATAAATTACAAGTTCCACAACAATTTAAATGTACTAAATGCCATGAATTGAACACTATAAAAGGGTTAAAATGTTGGATTTTTTTTTTTGCCAGGATCAGATTTATTTATTTTAGAAGTCTTTGCCAAGTTAATTATCATAAACACAGAATAACAGCCAGAATAATGGGCCAAAAAGCATAGAAAACACATAGAACAATATACAAAGTCAGCGGCGGTGAACCGATGGCATGTGTGTCACAGTGGGCTGTTTGTATCACCGAAAGCCTAAAAGGTTTGCCATCACTGTACTAAATCAAGACACAAGGCTATGCTAGATTACAATAAATTTTTCTCTCTCTTTTTTTTCCTATTGTCTGTCTATTATTTTGCACTTTATTGATTGCATTTCTCATATAAGAGAAACCATGCAATACTTAAGCTTGTGTGTCTTATTTACTTCACATTGTTTTACTTCACTTATTTACTTATATTATGGTCTCAAGGTGCATTCTTTTTCCTACAGATAACTCATGTTAATCCTTCTTTACGGGACAGTAGTATTCCATTGTGTATAAATGCCACATTTTCTGTGTTCACTCATCTGTTGATGGACATATAGGCTGCTTCCAAGATTTAGCTATTGTGAATTGTGCTACTGCAAACATGGGTATGTATATATTATCATAATATGATGTCTGTAACTCTCTTGGGAAGATACCTTGAAGGAGAATAGCTGGGCCAAATGGAATTTCTATCTTTAGTTTTTGGAGGAATCTCCATCTTTAGTTTTTGGAGGAATCTCCATATTGATTCCCATAGCAGTTGTACCAGTTTACATGTCCACCAACAATGGAGAAGGGTTTTTCCTCAGTCTTTTTTTCCTCACAATCTCTCCAGTATTTGCATGCACCACCATGCCTGGATTATACTATTGATTTTTTTTTTTTTTTCCGGAACCAGGGATTGAACTCATAACCTTGTGCTTGTGAGGCAGGTGTAGCACCACTGAGCTAAATCCCTGGGCCTGCTAATAATTTAACCTCTTCCTTTCTATCTCTATCCCTTTTATTTCTTTCTCTTGTCTAATTGTTCTGGTTAATGTTTTGAGAACTAGAGTATATTGAACAGGAGTGGTGATAGTGAACATCCTTGTCTTGATCCTGATTTTAGAGGAAAAGCTTTCAGCTTCTCTCCGTTTAATATGATGTTGGCCATTGGTGTGTCATGGATGGTTTTTATCAGATTGAGATAAAAACCTTCTATATCTATTTTCTTCAGAGTTAAAAAAAAAAACCAACAAAAATGGATGTTGGATTTTGTCCAATGATTTTCTGCATCTATTGAGATGATGATGTGATTTTTGGCCTTTCTTCTGTCTATGTGGTGTATTTATTTATGTATGTTAAACCGTGCCAGCATCTCTGGAGTGATCATCATGCATGATCTTTATGATGATTTACTGCATTCTGTTTATCAGTATCTTATTGAAGATTTTTGCTTCTATGTTCATTGGAGAGATTGGCCTGTAGTTCTCTTTTTCAGTTGGGTCCTTTTTCTGGTTTTGGAATCAGGATATTGCTTGCTTCCAGGAATTACTTAGGGAGTACTGCCTCCCTTTTGATTTCATTGAAGAGTTGGAAGAGTATTGGCATTAGATCTTCTCTAAAGACCTTGTAGAATTTGACAGCAAACCTGTTTGGACCTGGGCTTGCTTTTCTTAGTTGGTAGTTTTAAAGAATTATTTCTTCAATTTAATTTACTGATATTGGATTACTCAGGATTTTTATGTCTTCTTGGTTCAGCTTTGATAGTTCATACATATCTAGGAATCTATCCATTTCTTCTGGACTTTCCATTTTATTAGAGTACAGGTTCTCAGGCTGGGGATTTAGCTCAGTGGTTTCGTCGCTTGCTGTGCAAGCGCAAAGAGCCGAGTTCGATCCCCAGTACCAAAAACAAAAAAATCTGAAGAGTACAGGTTCTCAAAGTAGTTACCATAAATCCTCTGGATTTTGGCAGAATCTGTAGAAATTTCATCTTTTTCATTTTTGATTGCATGGATTTGTATATTTTCTTTCCTTATTTTGGTAAGGTTGGCTAAGAGTTTTTCTGTTTTGTTTATAATTTCAAAGAACCAACTGTTTAATTCATTGATTCTTTGTGTAGATTTTTAGTCTCAATTAAATTAATTTCTGTCCTGATCTTTATAATTTCCTTCCTCATACTAGCTTTGGATCTGGATTGCTTTTGTTTCTCTAGGACATTGAGGTGCATCATTAGGTTATTTATTTGAGTTCAATCTGTTCTTCTGATGTGAGCTATAAACTTTCCTCTGTGGGGGGCTGGGGATATAGCTCAGTGGTGCAAGCACGAGGTTCTGAGTTCGATTTCTGGTACCATAAAAGAAAAAAGAAAAAAAAGGCCCCTTAAAAAATCCCCTTTATTAAAAAAAAAACCCTCTCTTCTTTGGTCTGCTTTCATTGTGCACCAGAAGTTCTCATACGTTGCATTGGCATTATTGTTTGATTGTAGGAACTAATTTCTTCCTTAATTTCACTTGTGATCCATTGATTATTCAGGAGGGTATTATTTAATTTCTATGCATTTGCATAGGTTTTTGTTTTTGCTATTGGCTTCTAGTTTCATTGCACTATGATCTGATAATATGCATGGGATAATTTTGATTTTTTTGCATTTACTTAAGGATGCTTTATGGGCTAGGATATGATCTGTTTTGGAGAATGTCCCATGTGCTGCTGTTGTTGGACAGAATGCTCTAGATATTTATTAAGTCCATCTGTTTGAAGGTTTGATTCATCTCTGATATTTATTTGTTGATTTTTTTGTCTAATTGATCTATCCATTTGTTAGTTTGGGTTTTTTGGTACCAGGGATTGAACTTGGGACTTTGCACTTGCAAGGCAGGCGCTGGAACCACTGAGGTAAATCCCCAGCCCTATCTATTTGTGACACTGGGGTATTGAGGTCTCCCATTACAATTGTATTAGTGTTTATCTGATTTTTCATGTTCATTAGTGTTTGGATTCATTAGAAGTTGGGTATGCTGGTATTTGGTGTATATATAATGGTTAACTTTTCCTATTGATTTGTTCCCTGACCTTCTTTGTCTCTTCTGATCAGTTTTGGCTTGAAATCCATTTTATATGAAATTAGGATAGCTACTCCTACTTTTCACTGGGTTTCCATTGCATTGAATATTGTTTTCCATCCTTTGATTTTTAATCTGTGAATTTCTTTTTGAATTAAATGTGTTTATTATATACTGCATATTGTTTGGTTTTGTTTCTTCATTCATTCTGCCAATCTGTGTCTTTTGATTGGAAAACTGAAATCACTCATTTTGGGAGTTATTACTAAAAGATACTGATTTATTCCCATCATTGCATTATTTTCCTATTCATTTCCCTATGTTTTTCCTTTTGCTTAGCTGCTCATCCCATGCCTATTCATTTTTTCTGACTTACTAGCATTGTTGACTTCATTGCCTCTTTCTAGGGTATCTTTGAGAATTTTTTTGTAACGCTGGTTTGGTAGTCATGAATTTCTTGAGGTGCTCCTGCCATGGAAATACCTTATTTCTCCGTCAATTTGGAAGGAAATTTCTGCAGAATACGTAAGTTGGGGTTGTAAGTTGCTATCTTTTAGCCCTTGAAACACTTCACTCAAAGCTCTCCTGGTCTTTAAGGTTATGTTGAGAAGTCTGCTGTAATTGTAATGGGTTTCCCCCTATATGTAATTCATTACCTTTCCCTAACAGCCTTTTCTTTTTTTTTTTTTATACCAGAGATCGAACTTGGGTCCTTGTGCTTGCACAGCAGGCAGCCGAAACCACTGAGCTAAACCCCCAGCCCATCTCTAACAGCTTTTAAGGTTCTGTTGCTGTCATGGACTTCTGGAACTTTGAATATAATGTGATGTGGGGAAGTTCTCTTTTGGTCATGGCTATGTTGGGGTCTATATGGCTCACTTATCTGTATGTTTATCTCTCCCTATTTTTTGAGAAATTTTCTGCCATTTTTTTTTTTTTTTTTTTGAGACAAGGTCTCACTATGTAGCCCAGGCTGGCCTCAAACTCATGGCAATCCTCCTGCCTCAGCCTCCCAAGTGTATGCCACCACACTCAATGTCTGGCATTATTTCTGTGAATAGATTTTTTTATGCTACTTGTGTTGTTTTCTGACTTTTCACTGAATAAGTGAAATGGAATAAGTGAATTGGAATACATTTATTCTTAGATTC